TGCCTAGGCTTTGTTGGTTAGGTAAGGTTGGTTGACTTGGAAGGTGCAGTTTGCTGGCATGATGGGCTGATGTGCTTGCCACTAGGAAGGCCACCTTCCAGGATAGGAGGCACAAATGAGTTGCAGCCAAGGAATTCGAAAGGTCTTTTGCTGAGGGTGTGTAGCACCACTGACAGGATTCATGTTGTGGGGGAGGGATGAGGACAAGGGCAAGGTTTTGTAGTTTGCTTAGGAACTTGTGTGCTGATTTGTGGGCAAAACCTGACGCCCCCTTGCCAGGATCAGGGTCTGGCCGGTCCCATATGTGTCTGCAGAGCCAGGTGCTTCTCTGTGGGCTAACTGCTGGGAAGAATCAGATGCTGCAGCTGAAAGTCCTGGACATTTACATAAAATATGCTTTTACACTGCCACTCTTTGCCACAGCAATGCAAGCTATTCCCCAGGGCTCCTTGTGCTTTGGCTACTAGTATCTCTGTGCCTTGATCCTACCTTCCTCCAAGTAGACTCTGCCTTGCTCCAGCTCTCCTAGCCTCATTGCAGCTACTCGCCCAGTAAACTGACCTCAAAATTGTGCTCCATCTTTCTCTCTCTTCTTGTAAATGAAGCCCAGTCGCTCTCCTCCATGCTTTCAAACTAGAACTGTTGACTTGCCCCAGCCTCTGATCCTTTGGCAAAGCTCCAGACTCTCATTTGAGCTTGCACCTTGGACCTGGTGTTCTGCCCATCCCTGCTGCCACCAAGTATACACAAATCAATGGTGGGGCGAGGTCTTTCTGGATGCATATTTGCAGGAAGACCAGGATTTGTTTGATGGTGGCCTCCTTGGGTTGAAACCTTTCAGACATGCAAAGGTTGTGAAGGTGTTCCACTTTGTGGAGTTTTTCAGGGCTGTGTCTAGTATGGACAACACCTTAGGTCATGGGTCCTCAAACTATGGCCCACGGGACGGATCTGGCCTGCCATGGCCATCCATCCGGCCCGCACCGCTGTTCGCCGCCCACGTACGCGCTTGCTGCACGGGCGCAGAGGTGGTGGCTCACTCGCTCGGAGATGGTTTTGGACTCGCTGGGATCGTCAAGTGAGCGAGCCACTGCCGCACGTGCCTGATGCCGCCGTGCGTGCACCCGATGCCACCTCGCACACTCCCGATGGCACCTCACCGGCCCGCACCCCCAGGCACCCCCACCTCACCAGCCCATGACAGTCACCGCAGCCTTTCAACTGGCCCCCTATTCAAAACGTTTGAGGACCCCTGCCTTAGGTGGTAGTGATGCTTCCTCCCCAGTCTAGGGGACAATCTTTGAAGCTCTAGGGTCTGGGTGAAGAATTCAGCCTTAGTCTTGTGAAATGAAGTCCTGGCAGCATAAAGGTGGATGAAGTCCCCCTGGGAGAGTTGGAGGAGCTGGGAGAACATCGGTGCCTCAGCCACCATGGGGTTATGAGAACGCATTCTATCCCATCCCTCCTCATCCTAACAGTCACCCTGGTGATTAGGGGGAAAGGAGGAAAGATGCAGAACAGGATGCTGTTCCATCAGAGGAGGAAGGCATTCCCCAGGGAGATGGTTCCCCTCCCACCCTGGAGCAAAACTGGGGCATGTCATGTTGTGGGCTGTGGTGAAGAGGGCCACTGACCATGTCCTGCATTTGTTGTGGAGGTTGCATAGGACCATCTTGTTCAGTTCCTACTTCTGTGAGTTGAGGGTTGCATGTCTGAGAGCATCTGCCAATATGTTTTTCTTGCCCACTATGTGAATTGATGTGCTCTGGATGTCCTTGACAATGCATATGTCTATGGCTAGCCTTGTGAGCGGGATGGACCATGTGTCTCCCTACTTGACCAGACAGAACATCATAGTTGTGTTGCTTGTGGTTATCTGAATGTGTTGGCAGCACAGGGAGGCTTGGAAACCTATCAGTGCCTTGTGGCAAGGCAGCATCTCCAGGAAGTTGATGTGGTGGCTGGTCTCTCTGTGGTTCCAGGACCTCTGAGTTTGTAGGTCACCACAGTGTGCTCCCCAGCCTGTCTTGGTCATGTCTGTAGTGATGGTGGCCATTGGCTCTGATCCCTACCATGAGCTTGTGTGGGATGGTTCACCAGTGCAGGCAGTTTTGGACTGAGAGTGGGGTGCTCAAGAAGGTGCTCTGGGGCTCTGTGTTCTAACTGTGGGCAAAGCACAGCTATAGCAGTTTCATCTGCAGACTGGCCAAGTGGACCTGCTACTGTGGCTGCCCTGAGGTCATTTGGGCAGTACTTGCTCATGGCACCCATTGTCTCCCATAGGAAGAGTTGGCACCGAGCCATGGTGGCCTTATAGTTTGAGAGCTGGATACCCAGGGACAAAGCTGTGTAAATCTACCTCACTAGGCCATCCAGCCGGCATCCCTTGCAGTTGACTGGGGCCACGTGTTCCCTTTGATGTCCCCTATGCCAACTCAGTGATGATGGAGTTCAGGGCTTGGGCACTGAAACAGGAAGGAAGCATCCTTCTCTTACACTCAGTACATTTTCTCAGCCTTCTCTGATGTACTGAGGGAGGCTGAAGGGAACTTCCAGGACAGCCCTGGAGCAGGGCTGGCAGGACAGGAATGGCCACTGGCCTTGAGCCCTTGGAGCTCAGGGCATCAATGGCTGGGTCAGCGACCTAGTCCTGCTGCTGCTCAGTCTTCAGTCCCAGTTCTGAGGCCATTCTGAGCACCTGCTCCATAAAGCACCTCCTCTCCACTGACGGGGATGCTGGGTCCTGGTCACAGCTGTCCTGGGGACATCTCCGGCAGGCACAATGAGATCACTGACTCAGAATCCGAATCACAGCCAGGGCTGGAACACAAAGATTGGCTTTGTGATCTCCTGTGATGTGGATAGTACTGAGGCGTGATGCCAATCTGATATTGAGGCCTGGTGTCCATCTGGTGCCAGTGGGTGGCAGTGGCTTAGTCTGCTGTCAGTTACTTGTTGAGGGCTGGTGCTGGCTCAATATTGAGGCCTGGTGATGGTTAGTGCCGGAGCCTGGAGATGGCCAGTGGTTGGGCAGTTGCGTTGGGTGGACTTGGAGGGGTGGCAGCCAGTGGGTGGCCTGCCCTTGTGTCTCTGGGGTGTCACAGGATGAGGATGGTGTGTGTGGCCCTGGTATCGGTGGTGCTCAGCAACAGGGTTCCAGCATTGGTCGGCTCATGTCCCTTGTCCAGGCAGAGGCAGAAGGAGTGCCCATTGGATGGGGGCTATTTGCTGCGCAGATGGCAAGGAAGGTGGGAAAGAAGGTGAGGGAAGCTAGGGAAATCACAGGCAACTTGGGCAGAGTTGTGGAGCAATGGATAGAAATGTGGGGGGTTTGGTAGATTTTTTTTAAAATAGTGGAAATGGGTAGTCAAAGAGAGAGGAATGAAGGGAGGATTGTTTTGGGCAAAATGGAGAGCAAAAAAAGGAGAAAGAATGTGGCGTACCCAAGGTAGATAGAGAACAGCAAAGCGATTCCTGGTCTGGGTGTGTGATGGAGGCCAAAAAGGAACTAAGCGGATGGGGATGAACCTCACCCTCACCCTCTGGGAACGGGAAGGGGCAGGGCTCCTGCCCAAAATGAACGCTTAGCTATTGAAGCTTCCCAACAACAGGCACTGCACTGGCAGAGAGCCCATTTGTGTGATGCACAGAGACCATGATGAAGAACCAAAAGATGTTTTGGTTTGGAACCACTGCATTTCACAATGAAAGCAATATAACATGTCTGCTGATAAAATGTACCTATGTTGTTAGCCATCCAGAGACACAAGTAATTGGACGGCATACAATTTTATATATATATATATATATATATATATATATATATATATATATGAATGAATGAATGAATGAATGAATGAATGAATGAATGAATGAATGAATTAGTGGCAGTTGGACACTGCTGAAATCCTTGAACTAAATGGGCAGAAATCTCGATAGCATGGGAAAGCTTTCCTGGAAGCAATCAGCAAAGGAACTTTTGGAAGCAGTCCTGGCTAAGCAGCAAATTGTGTACCATGGACAGCTCCATGATGATTTTTTTTTTTCGTGCTAGCACTGTGAATACTATACTCTGTCACTAAATGACATCTCAAGGTTGCTTGAAATGTATACAGCCTATAAATGGAATCTGTATAACAAACTGCATAGAATGAAGGATGGAATCAATGTATAAATGGCCAGTGTGTTTGCTAAACTGAAGGGAAGGGCCAAGGTCAGTAGAATTTGAGCAGAAGCTTTTGCATACAAAAACTTCCAGGCTCCTCCCAGCTAAAAAGCACTGGGCAGGAGATGATGAAGGGTCTACTGAATGAGCTACTGAAAGTCAGTAACACTGGATTAAATGAACAGGGAGGTGCAACACCATTTTATACTGTTCTAAGTTTGTCTTTTAATAGTTGGAATATTTTAACATATAGCGTTATTTGTAAATTGTTTATTAAGATCTAGCTGGTCACTGACTGTAATAAATTGTTGTTGTAGTTTAAACTCAGTTCAGAAGTTTAAAAACCGCATGCCCAAAATTAACACCCCTAACGTTAATTTTCAACAATAATGTAACCTGGTCTGTTTTGAGAAGAAAGTGAGAGAGCAGGTGTTATTAATATGCCTTTGGCTAGTTTTTTACTAAAGCAAGGGGAAAATTAATTCCCGGCATATAGATAATAACCATAATGGTTTTAAATCTATCTTGATCGGCAATTAGTCTCTTTGTTCTTGGTAGTAGTGGTGGGGGATGTGAAGGTGATTTTGGGAAATCATCCAAAATATTTTTCATACCAGAAATGTTTCTTTTGCTCTTCTATCAGAAAGCCTGTATTATTATCTTGGTATGTGATTTGCACATGTAAGTGTAAAGTCTTTTTATAGAAGAAGATCCATTTACAATGCAGCTTTGATGAGAAACATCAAACTTTATTCATTAATAAGGCTATGACCACTTTTGTCTCTGTGCATTTTGTGAGCAATACGCTTGGTGACTGTCATATTTTTTTCCACAGAGTCGAATGGCAGAGAGCCTTCGCCTATTTGACTCCATTTGCAACAACAACTGGTTTATCAACACCTCCCTTATCCTCTTCCTGAATAAGAAGGATCTGTTGGCAGAAAAAATCCGCCGTATCCCGCTAACAGTCTGCTTTCCTGAGTACAAAGGCCAAAACACTTATGAGGAAGCAGCTGTCTATATCCAGCGTCAGTTCGAGGACTTGAATCGCAACAAGGAGACAAAGGAGATCTATTCACATTTCACTTGCGCCACTGATACCAGTAACATCCAGTTTGTGTTTGATGCGGTGACAGATGTCATCATTCAGAACAACCTCAAGTATATTGGTCTTTGCTAAGGACACTTGCAAATAAGTCTGATTTCTTAAAGGAATGCAAAAGAGGTGAACTAGCTCCACTTTCAGTGGAAACAAGGCAGTACTTGGAAGGGAGCAATCTGAAGCATGTTTGCAAATCTCTTCAACTGCCTACTCACACTTTTGCAAAAACAAATGTCTTCAAGTGTGCATACATCCCACAAAATAGTGAGATTTTGAACTGTATGGAAGTGCTTTCACTACAGTCTTGTCCTCACTGGATCATTCTATTCATTGCATTTATTTTCCTAGAGATGGTGGAGCTATTATGTTCTCTGTGTAATCAAGCAGTGCATTGTTGTTACTGTCCTAGAAACCATGTTGCTGTTGGGAAGAGCCAGGGCTGCTGAGAGGGAGGCAGGGCTGCACTGCAAGGCCCCCACACTGCGAGAAGACGAGCACTTCCAGACTAGTTGATAGAGAACTGGCAGATCTGAGTCAAGTGTTCCTTAACCACATTCTAGTACACAGCTTACAGTTCATATACAATGGATCATGTATATATTCAGGCACATAACTTGCAAAAAGATACCAAGTATGTATTTGGTATACATGTTATGTTTGCATCATGGTTTATTGTGACTATTCTGCCTGCTGAAGGAACTGATAGTGCAGAATAACTCCATGAGTTCTCGCCCTGACCTCTAGCCCTTCCTGCTGTTCAGATTCAAAATATGCAGCAAAAATAATACATGAATGGAATTAATGAATAAAAGACTAGGCCAAAATTACAGTCAGTGTTTGTTCTACTAGTGAGAAATTTTATACATTGAAAGTTTTCTTTTACATCCTTTTTTGCCAAATAATTGTGCTCTTTCACAAAAACTCTAAAAGTTTAATAAATGGTTGAGGTTTTTTTTTAATGCAGATATTGAAAGTATAAGTTTTTTTAATTGTTTTGTGTCTGGATTTTACAAGTGTGCCAATGGACAATTGTATCCCATTGCTCCAAGGAAATCCTCTGAAGTATGGCAACATTAACAGCTTTCTTAACACAGGAGCCAATGAAACTGTATAATAATATAGCCTTTTAAGTCTTTTTTTGTGTTTATTTTTTAAAAAGTGCTGTAATTATTAGGTGAACAGATGAGTGCTATGAACAATATTTAAATGTCTCGATATTTAAATTTTTTAAATGTGGTGGAATTAAAGAAATGGAAATGATGCATTTCTCAGCTCCCTTCCATCCTGTATGCAAACAATATGGGATGGTATAGTATTCTAGCAAATTTACAGTTCAGTTTGAATGCCTGAAAAGCTCTCTGCAACTTTACTGGAAAATCTAACATAGGTCATATGACCAGTGATACCTTCTCCCACTCATACCCTGCAAGAGACTTCTTCCATTCTTCAGTGTAAACTAAATGTGTAAATATACATTCAAGAACTGTAAAGCACATAACTGCACTCCTCTGCCTCTCTCACACACTGCCTGCTCCCTCATTCAATTTCCCAGCTGTATGAAGACTGGTGAGAAGTCTCAGCCAAGGGCTTTAAGAAAAACATGAGAGAAAATAATGAATGATGACCAAGTTATGGGCTGTCTACGTTAAGAAAATAAATAATCTGAATGATCTCAACTGGTCCATGGTGTGCTCATTGTTTATAGATTCTATGAGACAAAATTCCACATACCTGCATTCCCACTTCACATAATCATAGAATGGTAGAGTTGGAAGGAGCAATGAAGGCCACTGGGTCCAGCCCCCTGCTGTTGCAGGACACCAGTTTACACCATCCCACTCAGATGGCTGTCCAGTTTCTACAAATTCTACTTCTTCCAAATTGCATTCTTCTGATCTGAGAACCACTTTCACTTTGATATTTATTCCTTGTGTAACCAGGCCAGTACAGCATTTAGAAAAAAATGGAGAACAGATATTATGAGAAGGGGCTTGAAGCAGCTCCAGATGGAAGGGAACTGACAGTTCTTAACAGTAGAATCTTTCCCACTATAATTTCCTTTTCAGGAGACATCTGGAGCACATTCTGTTTGTCTACAGCAGTGGTCTTTAAGAGATTGCTGTCAAAAGCCTGTATCTCTCAGAATTCCTGGGAATACTGTTTAGGTTTCAGAGGCTGGTTTAGGGACCAATGTAGCTTGACTCAAAATGGGAAAAGGCATGGCTTTTATTATGCAATCATTTGCCTCATTCATGCAATCAATCAATCCTTTATTCGGTCATTGACCAGCCAATACTCATTCATGGAATTCTACTGTGAGTGAGGGTGGAGAAGGGGAAGTGCAGAGATAGAACGTTTGCCCTCCAGTGTTTTCCCAGTGCAGCTTCCCTTTTTCTTATTGGAAGTGTCGATTAAGCAGTGAAAGAGAAGAGCGGCACAGTACCTTGCAACTGGCAGCAGCAGGAATCCTTGTCTGGTGGCACCCCAGATGTACTGGATGTACTACTTCAATGAAGGTTGGAATCAGATCTTGCTTTAGAATATGGAGTGGGGAGACGAGTGAGAAGCAGATCACCTTCCACCTTATAACTTCTTTTTTTGTTTAGTCACAAAGTCACACCTGACCCATCATGACCCCATGGACAACATTCCTCCAGGCTCACTGGTCCTCCACCATCCTTCGGAGTCCACCCAAGTCCACACCCACTACCCCAGTGACTCCATCCAGCCACCTCCTCTGCCGTCCCCTTCTCCTTTTGCAGTCAATTGTTCCTAGTATCAGGGTTTTCTCCAGTGGGTTGTTCCTTCTCATTAGGGGGCCAAAGTATTTGAGTTTCGTCTTCAGTATCTGAGCCTTCTAAAGAGCAGTCAGGGATGATTTCCTTTAAGATTGACTGGTTTGATCTCTTTGCAGTCCAAGGGACTCGCAGGAGTCTTCTCCAGCACCAGAATTCAAAGGCCTCACTTCTTCGGCACTCAGCCTTCCTTACGGTCCAAGTTTCACAGCTATACATTGCAACTGGGATACACAGACGATACCACTCTAATGGCAGAATGTGAAGGGGAACTAACTAAAGAGCCTCTTGATGTGTGTAAAAGAGGAGGGCTCAAAAGTTGGCTTGGAACTCAACATTAAGAAAACTATGATCATGGCATCCGGTCCTATCATTTCCTGGCAAATAGATGAGGAAAATGGAGGTAGTGACAGATTTTATTTTTCTTGGGCTCCAAGATGGTGACTGCAGCCAAGAAATTAAAAGAAGCTTGCTCCTTGGGAGGAAAGCTATGTCAAATCTAGACAGCTTACTAAAAAGCAGAGACAAAGCAAATAGCTGAAAGGACAGCAAGACAAAGCTGCAGGGAATCAATAGCTTGCTTACTTGGAAGCACACGCTGCTGGAAATTGGTAAATACACTACAGTTTGTTAGAAAAATGTACGTAGGGTTGGCACTTAATAACACTGAATCACAAATCTGGCTAAGAATTGCTGCTTAAAGGACAAGAATGTCCTAATTCCTGTCCCACTGATTGCAGGCTGGCTGGACCGACAGGTTGATGCATGCTCTAATTCACACTAAGAAAACCAAATTGCAGCAAGATCTACCTCAGCCATAAAGAACTTCAACCTTGGATAAATATGTTAGAAGTAAATAATAGCAAGTTCCTTGCTATCTTCATGTCTTTTTACAGTGATTGGAGAAATTAACCCAGTGGGCAGACTCCAGTGAAGTGCTTACACTTAACACTGATTCACTTATGACCTGCTAGCTCTCCTCCATAAGCAGCATTCACCACATGTAGTATGATGACTTAACACTCATTTCTGCAATTTATTTATTTAAATATGTATATGCCACCTATTTTACTAACATCATCCCTAGGCAATTCACAAAATTAAAGGAATTAAAAACATCCCTAGACAGCTCACAGTATTAAAAAATTAACAATAAAACTTAAAACACTAATAAACTGATTATAAATTATTACAAAAGTACATTTAAAAGTAATAGTGAACGGGGCAGATCAGAGCTTGCAGCTGAGTGGCGCGTAAGGACAGTTCCGCCAATCTATTGTGGAAACAGCATGCCCACTGATGATGGGGCTTCCTCTGAGAAGTGCTCCATCTCTCGCACAAGCATTGCTGCTTGCTTGTGCACACCAATCTGCTAGATGCAAGGCAACTAATGGACCTAAGTGCCCCACTGGATTCCAGCCTGCACGCCAAGGCGTCTGCTTTCAAAAAGATAGAAATGTGCCAAACAGAATGCAGCTTAGAGCTAATCATAGAGAAAAATGGCACAGCAAATGCAGTATTCGTGTGTTTATAAAGTCTGTTACTTTTGGATGAATTGTGCATAATGTGTGTATCTGGACATCAGAAAGTAAGCAATCTTTTTCCTTAAAACTTTCTTTACTACAGTACTACAGCATAAAGCCAAAGTATTCATGGGTCTTTTAAAAATTCTGATTTGAAATGTCTAACTGAAGTTCAAAGTCCAGTACAATTGACAAGAGGACAATTGTCCCTATCAGTCTGCCTGAATCTTCTTTAGATTAGCACATAGTTACAGCTGAAGGATTCAGTTTTCCAGATACTCTGCTGCCCCACTGCTACTCAAAAGTAAACTTGGAGCCAGTGAACTAGAAGTCACTTTGGTACAGAGCAATAGCTTTACTTACTAGTCACAAAATAATATTAAGGAGAAAATGTAAAGCAGATTTCAAGGGAGGCAGCCCACCAACCATATTTGCCTTCTTGAACTAGCAAAAACAAGAGTACGGATTTAACACTAAAGGCAGGTTGCATACTTTTAACTGTCATTCTTTGAGCGGTTCTCTGCACATTCACACATGGGTGCTGTGCCTGCACAGTGCCTTGCTCCGGAAGATTTCTCTAGTTCAGCCTAGAACTTCCCATGGAAGCACCTCCCCCATTATATAACTAGCTGGCTCCTGCCATTTTTTCAGTTCACCTGGAGACCAACATTTGCAGTGTTTGTCAGTCCCAAAGACCCCAAATATTTCATCGCCATGAAATCAGGAGGTAGGTTGCAGAGATAAATATGTGCATACATCTAACAATGTATCTATACATATATCCACCAACATCGATGCAGGGCTGGCAGGTGGGTTGTGTGAATGCAAAGATGACCACTTGAAAAATGACAGTTACAGGTATGCAACCTGCCTTTCTTTGTCATGGTCTCTGTGCATCTGGATGGTGGTCAGTGATGAGCAGGACTGTTCCTGGGACTGACCCTGTTCAAGCTTTCCATCACTGGAAAGAGGAGGTGAACAATCTGCTGATCAAGTTCGCAGACGATACTAAAATGGGGGCAGTGGCCACAACTGAGGAGTAGGTACTTTGGATCCAAAAGGATCTGGATAGACTATGGAAGTGGGCAGGAGACAACAGGATGGCGTTCAATGTGGATAAGTGCAAGGTCTGGCACTTCGGGCATGGGAATGCGTGTCATAAGTACAGGTTAGGGGACAAGTGGCTGGAGAGCAGCACTTGTGAAAGGGACCTCGGGGTGCTGGTTGACTGCAGGCTAAACATGAGCCAGCAGTGTGATGTGATGGTCAAGAGGGCGAATGCCAGAAATGTCACTTCTAGATCGAGAGAGTTATTACTGCCATTCTATATAATTCTGGTCTGCACACAACTGGAGTATTGTGTTCAGTTCTGAGCTCCACATTACAAGAAGGATATAGCCAGTTTGGAATCAGTGCAATGTAGGGCCACAAGGACGCAGGGTAAGCTGTATGAGGTGAGATTGAGGATACTGGGTCTCTTCAGCCTGGAGGAGACTCTGAGGGGATCTGTTGCTGACATATAGGTACATAAGGGGGTGTCACACAGAGGTGAGTAGAGACCTGCTCTCCCCTGTGGAGGAGGGCAGGATGCGTTCCAGTGGAGCAAAGCTCAGGAAACCAAGGTTCAACTTGGATGGCAGGAAGTACTTCCTGACTGTTAGGACCCCTAGGGTATGGAATGGGCTTCCACAGGAGGTGGTTGAGGCCCCATCAGTGAGGGTGTTCAAGAATAGGCTTGAAATGCACATGGAAGGCATGTCGTGAACAGAGCTGGCTGGAGCTGGGGGTCAGACTAGATTGCCTGGGAGGCCACTTTTGACTCACTCTATGTTTCTATGTTTTTATGTAGTCTTCTCTCTGGTCCAATCCATGCTCCTTGGGTTTATAGCAGTGACCCAAGTGGGCATCCCAAACAGCAAGGGATGTGTCCATAGTGAGGGTTGCTGTCAGCTCCGTAGTTTGGAATGGAAGACCCTCAGATAGACTGCTCATGGGTCCACCATGCCAAGCTCGCTCAGATTTGTATTGGAAGAATGAGTGTTTTCCTTGGAGGATCAGAGGCTGGTCAAAATTTCTTCCATAACTGCGGAGGGTGCATTCATAATTTGGCAAACTGTGGATGCCATGTGCCCTAGGAATATTTGGATCTTGTGAGCGGATGCTCTGGACTTCAAGTGAAGGGCAGCAGCCATATGTATGAATCTGTCCATTCCGACACAGAATCAAGTGCTACACCGGTGTATTGTATAGTCTGTGTAGGGGCAGGATTAGTTCTTCATTGAGGCCTCTGCGCATCACACATTATGGGTGCTG